CAAGAGCAAAAATATATATGTGTTTTTATCAATTATTCGATTCTAAAGCACTTTTTGCTGAAGCCTGTTATGAATATAGGTATCAAATAATTTTAGCATAGAATTACCGTAACTCATCACCAAGCACAGCGTACTACGGTTGTTTTAATTTATAAAATACACATATCAAAGAAATATCACTCATTAACTTGTTACTGTCATGACAATCGACTTTGGCACAAGAATTCTTAAATACTGTCTATAGTTTACGTGAGTGTCGTGACTCACGTATCTGCCCGTGACACTGCTGCTGCAAAGCATCCGAAACGTCGGGCCGAAGTTAAAAATCATTTTCAAATAAGTTTAACTAATATATCGCGTTTTAAACCGTTAGTGTTTTATTTTAAAAATAACTATGTTCTTAATTAACGTAAAACATATTTTTTAGGTACAAACACTAAAATAAATGACATCCATTTCAATCAAATTCAAACTTAAGTAATAGACTAAAGGATTGCTTTAAATAGATTGACCCAAAGAGGAGAGAAAGGTATAGGTTCATTCACCATATATAAGAAGCACAAACAAGACCTTAAATCAAAGTGTTCTCAGCGTCGTAGCAAGATCGTAGCGAATTCCGTAGCACTATGTAGCCGGTAGACGGCCACGGACTTTTAATCAAACAATCTGCTTACACGTGCTCCGACCTTTTTCTATTTAAAGAAGAAATGGAAAAATTATGAAACTGAATATTTTATTCGAAGGAAGCATAGTGGAATAGACTTGAAAAATTCGCTGTTCTTATATTTTAGGAGAGACTATATAAACGCAAAAAGAAATAATATTTTTATATCACGCGTTCGTTGCAATTGAAATGTTAAGGGATTTCTATAATTCCTTTGGACTTTTGAATATTTGATCCTTGTCAAAGATAAACGTCATAAATTGTTTAATTGACATTGTCAGGACTCGATAATTTTGAAATTATTACAGTAATAAAAACTATAATATTTTCCTATACTTTTGGTGTGCGCAACATGATGATCATTAATTAATTTTATATAGTCGACGACTTTTTCATTCTCAGCGAATATTTCGTAGAAATAAATATACATTTTGATCTATTTTGTATATAAAATAAGTAATAAGTTTACTAGCAGTTTCTATATTAAAACTTGCATTTCACATCAAAGGAAGGTAATGGACTTCTTCGGCTGAAACTCAAGTCCAATAGCGAAGTCGGCTAGTTATTACGTTATTTGTACTTCGTTCTGCAATAAACAACCCTCTGACTTCGTCTTTGACGATTCATTTGCCTCGGGGTATTAATTTTTGTTGGATGCTAGTCTGAAAATTAAGATGTCCAGAATCCTAGCGCGATGGACTATATAGGACTAAAAACAACTATTCTTATTTTAAATAGTTAAGTAAGTAAGAATTCTAAAAGTAGTAGTTATTTATTTTAAAATCCCCTCGTGTTCGTGCTATGCGTGTTATCTACAAGCAGCAGGAGGGGATTGACATGTTCACGTGCAGCTTGGGTGAATTGACGAATAATCATTCTATGAAATATGTATGGAATTATTGTATCACAATGGCTATTTATTGAATACTGTAATGGTAGATTATAATTAAAGAAATAAATAAAATATCTTTTAGTGGAACAGTGGCTTTAACTAAATTAATACTTACAATACGATAAAATTTTAAACAGATTCAAAATAAAAAAGGCAATAAATCACATTATTAATCTTGATAAGTGTTTAATCGAGGCAATGTTAAAAACATCTGTCTTTGTCAATTGATAATATGTGAATAAAGTAAGTGAAGTGAAAATCAAATGCACAAATAAAATATCAACATTTTATTCATAAATCAGTATAATCTCTTACGTCTAGACAGATTTACAGTATAAAGACTAAAACGAAGTACATTAACGATAGTCCGTACAAAAATAATTATTCTCGTCTTTTTTCATGTCCCACCTATTGTACACTTCAAAGGATATAATAAAAAGAATTTTGGCTCATTTTGATGGAAAATATTTAAACTATATGAGTATAAAAACAGCAAGATGATCGCATTCATTCACTGTAACTCAAGAAAACATGATTAACGAGAAAGTTTTTATTTATTAAGAAAACTTGCTGGTTCTCTAAATATTCTAATTTAATAGTATCTATAAATATATTTTAAATTTTTTAAACAATAATACTCAAATTAAAAAATTTACAAGAAGTAAATGATCTAACTATATATATTTAACTTAAAATAAACCTACTTTTGATATGAAGCCCACGTTTATGAAAGTATATCATTTTCTTAAAAACCAAAAATTTCGTACACACAGCCTGCTGTCACACTTACAAAGATTTAGTAGGAGGGTTATGCATTAAGTATCATATATATACAATATACATTTTATTAGTAAAACACAATAGTAATTTATACGAGCAACAGTTATATATCATCGATACAACATAGAAAATCTTAGATATATCTTATTTACTATTAAAGTTTTACAAAACCATTTTAATCGAGTTTAAACCAGTATAAACCCGGTTAAACTGGTTTCATTTAAGTACTCGCGTAAATTACAGATACAGCTTAAGGAAGTTATAATCGTTAGGTTAATAAAGTAAAAGTAAGTTGAATCAACGCCCTACTTGTTCAAATTCGGGTAATATTAATTATGGGGAAATTTAATTGGGATAGGACAGATTACTATGAAACTTTCAAATGGGGCTGTAAAACGTAATAGAACTTGATATCTGTGGGTACAAGATAGGTCTTCAAATTGATATTTGACCTAGTTGCTACATATAAATTTAATACAAGATGATTTCAAGATCGCTTTGTATATATATATATATTATGTAATGCCTTACAAAAAGACCTCATAACAAATCAGCTGGAAAAATATTATCTCATAATAAAAGTCTTTTGTGTTGTAGATAGCGCGTATAGATATTTACAACAGTATTTTTACAGACACAACTAAAACTGGTACAATAAATTAGAATTATGTTCTTGACCAGTTTATAAATTTCGGTGAAAAACATATCTTACTTTGATGAAAATATGACATTTCTAATAATGAGCTAATAAGAGACACAAAACAACAAACATAAAAAACAACTGACTTCACTCGGTAGCTCATTTAGTTAGAGCAACAGCACGGAACTCTGTGGATGCCGGTTCAAATCCTGCCCGAGTTGTTTTTTTCAATTTATAATAGTTTCAGTATATGATTGAAAGCTCAACTGAAATCAAATCTTCATTAACTTATACATCAAAAGATTTGTTTTATGAAATGTCTCGTAAAACTACGCCAATCACGTCAAGTTATCATAAATATCTGTCTCCCCACTAAAGCCTTCTGATCAAACAGAAACTCTACTTACATAACTTTTCACAGGTAAGTTTCATTTCTACGAGGATAATAAATACTATTATATATTTATAATACCATTTAGAGTATTTATGATATATATATATTATATGTATTTTAAAGCTTCATTTGCATTCAATGTCGTTTTTAACGGCGCAGCCAATTAACGAAAGATATCTTGCAAAAATCCATCTACTTATTGTCGAGACTTTAATGTTACACATTCACTACAGCATATAAAAAAAAACAAATATATATTATACACAAAATAGCGTGGGTAATAATCTTATAGAATATATCTTTGATAGTCGCATAGATAGAATACTAAAATCAATTGAAAGTATTTTAAAAATGTTTATATGTTATTCATACATATAATTGACTTGATTACTTTCGTATATGTTTCATATTATGTAAATTAAAAATCTATTTTTATTGAAAAAAATTGATGACACTGGCGGGGCTTGAATCGGCTTCTATAATGTCCTGTGCTGGTACTCTTAACAATCAAACTAATATTTTAGACACGGTAGCTCAATTGGTTAGAGCAGCACCACAGAGCCTTATGGTAGTTCAAACCCTAGTGACGTCAATATTTTTTAATCTAAATCGTTTTTTAATTTATATAATTGACGTATTCTGAAGATGTAATTCGTAAAAGAACCCACACTGTTTCATGTATACTATATTGCAGCTTTGCAATTGCTTACGATCGATAATTTGTGCGGATTATATTATGAAACTTTAAATAAATTGCAAACATCCATTATGATATAAATACACATTAATAAGTTATATTTAGGTTAAACTTTTAATGCCAATAATATCAAAGCTTTATTACCTACTGATTATTCTTAAAATATACTTTTGCTCTTCAAATGTCCAATGATTATTTGATCATAGTATTAGCGATAAAACCACCGTCCCTATTTTATCTGGATTAATAATATTTATTTAATAGACAACAATTATAGCTAAATATCATTATAGCAATATAAAGTCTTGAATTGAAGTGTGCGTTTGTACAAAGATAGTTACCAAAGATATATGGGTAAGGATATGTCAAGTATATTAAAACCGAGGGAGAAAACAAATAAGATTGAGGTTTCTTTAACACACATAAGAACTCTATTCAGAAAGAAATAACATATAGTGATATCTAACATATAACTATGTAGGTACTTAAAAATCCTTAAATGTTGACAAATAAATCTAAGGGATAAATTCTTTCTCTACTTGAACGTTACGCTACGTACATTTATAAATAAGTACCAACTTTGAGATAAAAATTTCAACCGCGAACCAATATTCCCGTCAAAGGGCAGTGTTTCCAAATGTTTGTGTTGGAAGTTCTTGTATGATCCGGGTATTATTAGTAAAGGACTTTTTTTAAAATTACAAAGTGTTTTACTGACCGATACATAATTCTATTATAATTTCTCAAGATCAGTTACTATTTTTATCTCCTTTGGCCACACAAAATATCACTTATTTTAATCCTCTACAGTAAATGGACATACAACCGTTAAGATGTCTAATTGTCTACTTATAAAAATGTTTGGCATCGCGAGAATACCTGATGTCCTAAGTTTCTCTGAAAGTCCAGACGATATCGTTCACTTGAGTCTCTTCATCTGAAACAAATTGGCAGTTTAATCTTAACTGTGAGACTCCACTGGCTCGTATGATCTGTTACCAGTAACTAGCGTTAGTAACATCTTACTAGTTGCAAGCTCAGTAGAGCATAATCGTTATCAAAACGCATTAGTATAATAATTATGATGATATTAAAACTTATAATTTATATGGATTTGGTATGTCAAATTATTATTATTATTTATATAGTTTTTATGACTACACATTACTTTTAATAAACCTCTAAAATTAAACGGACGCGATTTATGTTAAAGTTATGTTTATTGTGTCTAACGCTGTTTTTACTTCAAATCAAATATCGTTTAGATATTCCAAAACCTACCAATTCTTTACTACATGCTGGCACACAAGATGTTTGCAGTAAAATACACTATTATATAATTCTTATTGATGATAAATTCTAACTTATTTAGCAATAAATATGACAATAATAATTCCTAATTAAATTGGCCTTAAAAAAAGGGTCCTCGTGTTCGACCAATTGAATCAATGGAAGAGAAGACCTAGCAGGACGAATGCGGTAAATGCAGCAAAAATATTCAAATAAAATTAATTTTCAAGAAGTCTAAGAAGATTTCGAGTTTACATACATTCGGCTCCAAACTTCCACCTGTAATACATTTGACGACCGCCATTAATACAAGTGACTGAGGGGAAATTTTGTTTAGACTCTATTCTAAAGAACATTTTAATTTTGCCGTCTTGCCCTATTTCAGGCAATCTGATATCTGTATGTATTTAAAGGATACGTCGAAAAAGGAACTTTAACCAATGCTAAATAAACTCGTCTCACCTCACATTTAGGCAATTCAGTGCCGCATTCTGGTCTTTGTGGTCCTTGGTGGAAACTGGGACGTTGGTTGGTAAGCTCTTGTTGAGCGGGTACCACTGCGCGACTGGTTTGCGTGCGTTATCCAGCATTTCCAGCCAATGGTCTCGACCGATACCAATCATGTTGGAACCGATCGCTGTACATCCGATTAACTCGTTTTGACCGATTCTACAAAAACAGTTAATGTATTAAGTATGCTTTTACAATATAAAGCTATTTAAAAAATAGTGTAGGCCATTAGAAGTTTAAAAGTACTAGAATATTGTCTGTAGTTTACGTGAGTAGTACACATTTAAATAAAACACTTTAACGGTTTAAAAAGCGATATATTTTAGTTTTAGTTTTCTCCCCGTGGCCGTGCGCTGCAAAACATCCGAAACGTCGGGCCGTAGTTAAAAATAATTCTCAAACAAGTTTAACTAAAATATATCGCGTTTCAAACCGTAGTAGAATTTTAACATAGAGCAATTGTTGATATTTAAGAATAGTAACGGAATAATTTTGCACGAATTGCTTTCATTATTCGTGATTTATTTATTCGTTTACACGATAGTGTCGAGAGTTCGAGTCCCTATTGGGTAAAAAGAGTATTTACATTTGTGATTAAAACTGACACGTCCTATAATCCAACATCATTGATGTGTCAACAGGTATTAAATTTCATAGGAGGGCCTTGGACATAATAGAATAAACAAAAAGTTTTTATACTTCTTTCTTCTTTTTTTTAGTGGTAATTTATAAGCATACTAACAGATCATAGTCGATGACTTTCACCAGCAGAGTGACGTCATAAACATTTTCAGCGGGTAGATCGAAAACAAGCGCCTCGTTGTATACGGGGTTCAGAGTGTTCTTTTTGACGGTAGTTTTCTTTTTCTTGATGCGCTTCCCTTGGCATATGAGGCATATTTTCACGTAAGGATCTAGAAAAACATAATAATATTACGGCATAATAAATATATTTTTGAAATTTGTACAACCTTTTGTTTAACGCGATGTTAATATTTAATATCGGGAGACAAGTATTGTCTATGGTTTATGCAAGTAGAAGAACACTTTTAACACTTTTGGGGGTTTTAGTCTCTCCATGACCACGGCTACCACAAAGCACATCTAATTGAACGCAGTGAAATTAAATTATAATTGAGTAATAAATTTCACATTGTAAACAGTTAAAAGTGCTTTGATTAAATATCGTGTTACACAACAATAAGTCTAAGTAAACAGCTTCCAAAAATTCCGTTTGGCGTTCAAAAGACAACTTTGTATCGCAATAAAGTGGGTAAACAACGTTTTAATATTCCCCTCGACAAGCGCACGAAACAAGAAATAATCCCTCGGAATGAGAGATTTTTCCCCCTTTTTTTAGATGATTTTTGGACAAAAATTAAAAGTATGTTGTGGATCTCTTACGCTTATCTCAGAAGGAGACAACAAAAGTTATATTAAATCTTAATACTTCGGAAATTAAATTTTTTTTCCTTAAGGTATTACTTTCGAGTAAGTAAAATAACAAACTTATCAAACGAAGTTAATTTATAAATTATGCGGAAATTTTTGAATAAAACTCTTTTAACGGTTTAAAATACCCAAATCTTACAACATCTTGACAAGATGCGCCGTCGACCAATTTTAGCTTTGGAATCAAAGTCAAAAATCATTTATTCATGTACACTTATGAACGTCACAAAATAATTAAAGAATCTAACTTTACATTTACTACCAGTTCTCAAATCAAGGGCGTAGAACGAACGAGAAGAACTGGCAATAAACACGCCATCACTCCTTTTATCGCCAAGTTTCATTTTACATTCTTGATTTACTTTTAGTGCACTACATATTTTTCCTTGTAAGAGCGGGTTCCTCCACACCCCAAGCATTTTTATCATTTAAATATTGATTAACGTGATAATGACCCTTTTCAATCAGTTTTTGTTTTACATACGATTTAAACCTATTTATTGGATATTCGGAATTCCACAGACTGAAAGCAAAACATGATTAAACTTCCCGGCGTTTTCATATGTAGACGGTAATCAAGACCCAGGCAGAATGACGCTACCACCAATTTAATATCTAGATTTCCATGCAAAAACATGTTTGACCCGATGAGAATCGTTCCCACGACCATTAGCCATACATTGATACTTTATTAAACGCACCCATAAGTGTTAAAAACAAAAATGGTTTAAAACCGTTTTCCATATTCAAACAGCTTCAAATTGTATAACTATACAAATTCTATATTTAAAATACAAGCCTTCCTTTAACCACCATTACTAGTATGTACTTTTAAAGATTGTATTGTAAAAAACGTACTATATTTCTTAAATACAATCATTCCTTTTCAAACTGTGCTTTCATTAAAATACAGCATTTGTAAAGCAAGAAAGGAAGCACTCGAACTCCTTGTATTTGTGTAGTCAATTGAAATTCAGCCGTCGTAACAGACAATCACGTTTCGTGAAGGTTCCAGAAATCAGGGCATTTTTACCCGTCCCGAAATTCACTTGTATTCAGTGTTATACAAATGGCTGTAATTAGTAATATATACTTTTGTTCGTTCATTGAGAGGCTTTTAACGTAGGCTTTTTATACCTTTAAGATCGTATCATTTGAAAGGGATGGAAGGGAGGACAAGCGCAATTTAATTTAATATATACACGTTAATGTGTCCTTTTTAACACTGTTTATATGACAGAAGTGAATAGTAATATATAATAGATAAATGAAGCACTGTCAACATATATGCAACTAATATATTTCGCGTTTTATTTACATCCCTGTAACGTCATGGCGCGAACTCGTCTGTGTGTCCGTTTAATTGTGACATAACGCAATTTGTAACTATTGATCCGTAGTTTTAATAGTCAAGGAATGTGTAAGAGATAGATGTACCTAATTTAATTTACCCGTAAATAATAAATTACTTATTACATCTATGTATATCTTGGGTGTATTGTTTTGCCAATAATTGAGAGTTGGAAAAAGAGCGTGCCAAGATAATTATGACGACGTCTCAAATATTTTCCCTGCCTTGTAGATTTAGAGAATAGATTATTATATTATTTAGTAAAAATATTTAAATTAAAGTATTATTTCAACGTACTTCTATGCATTATTTATGTAGTATTGATAAGGTTAAATATAGTAGGAAATTAACTATAGACAGTATTTAGGAAATTAACTGATCTAAGTCAAATCGATTTTGAAGCCATAATAACTTAATCTTCCATGAAATGGGTCTCAAGTACGCGGCTTACCTGAAGATCCGTTGATATCCATCGCCTTGAGGTTTCTCGCCTTAATCACGGTGACAGTGAGCCGACCAGCCGTTGGAAGGTAGCAAAGGGAAAGCATCAATTCTCCGAGATCCTTCTTTTCCTGGCAAACACATCAACACTTCTTAAAACTAGAATTGATTAATGATTATTCTAATACTTCAAATATCAAGAATAGATTCATTACAGGTTCGAATACCATAGAGTCATGTGGATTTTTTACAAAAGGAGTTCATAGTTTTAATAAAGAATATAATCTTGGAAAACATATTGAATTTAAGTAGGGCTTAAATGAAACACTTTAACGGTTAAAAACGGTATCTCCCCGTGACCACGGCTGCTGCAAAGCATCCGAAACGTCGAGCCGTAGTTAAAAATCATTTTCTAACTAATATATCGCGTTTTAAACCGTTAAAGTGTTTTATTTAAATGTGCACTACTCGCGTAAACTATAGACAGTATTTAAATAGGGCTTCCAAGTCAATATTATCCGATTCTATTGCTTAGTATCAATTTAAAGATCTTAACCGTCGTAATAGTTTTGTACGAGTATCACACTTTTTACTTCTAATGCCTTTTGTCATACTTTGTGTACATGGGACATAAAAATACCATAATGATCGTTTTAATAAATATTGTTATTAACGACACGGACAGACATGAACCAACACCACAGCGACCCGTGCTTTTGCTCTTAATCTATTAATTTATTTTTAAATCTAAAATTTTATATATGTACAATATAAAGGTGTTAAGTACAGTGAAAAATATTAAAGTTTTCAAATATTCCTATACTCTCTTTTTAAGAGTTAATACCAACCGTCATAATTATACTTCTAAACAATTGTTTACAAGAATTTGAACATCGTATTTAAATTCCACCTTGCCATATAACATCGGAGATTCTCGAAACTCAAAACTAACTTATAATAATCAAGCGGAAACCTATTACTACTTTTTGTTATTGTATCAGAGGCTGTATTAATAATGTAAAGTTATTTGTAATAAATAATGTTTAAATAAAACACTTTAACGGTTTAAAACGCAATATATTAGTTAAACTTATTTGAAAATTATTTTTAACTTCAACCCGACGTTTCGGATGCTTTGCAGCAGTCGTGGTCACGGGGAGACCGTATAAATAATGTTTTTAACGCAAAATAAAACCAATAAAAAGTCATTTTAAAAAGAAATATTAATTAATGAAAGCTTAAGAGTCGAATAACATTGATTTTTTACCACACTGAAAAGTATATAAATGTTTGATAACAAGCAATGCCCTTTCACTACTAATAGGTTTGTAAACAGCACAAGAAATGTTATTATTATTATGTTATCAAATAGTTCTAACGATGTAAAAGATAACATCGTTAGAACTATTTGCTTTAAGAGTCTAGATTTCTAATAAATAACAACTAAAAGACCTTGTATTTCACGATGAATAAAAAAGAAATGTAAGTAATAAGATTTCTCTAGATGTTTGGGTTCAATTACCTTCAAAGAAGTTTTGTTTACAGTAAAATACAGAGCGAAAATCAAATGTTAAAGTTACATAAAAATATGATATCATAAGGAATACGCCATTCAAAGTTTTTGTACAATATTTTTCAAAATTTGATTCTTTGATATAATAAGTATTATCTGTTTCTAATTAGTTTATTTAAAGATAATTGCTTTAAAATTGATATTTCAAAAATATATGTTCTTAAATAATAAATAACAAAATGTCCTAAGGTACAAAACACAGAACTGAAAGAGCAGAAACAATTACCAATTAACGATCGTTAGTTAAAATAGCATATCTCCGATTACGGGAAGATCTTCCACTGATAATCTCTCCTTTCTGACGACTGACTGTTTACGAATAACATTCAATAAGAGATCTATTACGATTTTGATTCAGTAACGTCTGTAGTTCACGAGAAGTCCCTATTTAAATAAAACACTTTTAACGGTTTAAAACGCGAAATGTATCAGTTAACTTAAATAAAATGTATTTTAACTATGGCCCGAGGTTTCAGATGCTTTGCAGCTGTCGTGGTCGTGTCGGGGTCTGTAACTAGTATTGTACTTTGATTTTGTTACTGTATAGTCAACAAATAGATATTATACTATATCTAACTTACTCGTAACAAGGTCACTGCAAAATTTCTGTAACACATTTCGCGTTTAAAACCGTTAAAAGTGTTTTATTTAAAAGATTATGATTCAGTTACGGAAGCCTGCAGTGTTTATTTACGTTTAAATTCGCCTTACTTATTGATGGGGCCGATAGATACTATATCAGGTCAACTGATTGATTTTTATTCACTAGAAACTATCAAGTTTACCCAGGATGTGAACCCAAGATAATGCTATGCAAAGTGTTTAACTATTTAGCCACGGATATTACACTTTTATTTATAGGCAAATCAGAATGTTATTACAAGCTAAAGCTTTCACTCAGCAACAAAGCGAAAGTTTATAAATTACCAAAAAACAGTGAGATAAAGTAGACTTAAAACAAAGAACTTCGGAAGTAGCTTATTGAGTTTGGTGTTATAAAAACTTTGATGACTTGTTTTTACATCTTTTTATGGTTTACTTATAAATATTATATTTTATGGGCGCTACTTAGATAAGACAAATACCATACAAAATACTGTCTATAGTTTACGCGAGTAGTACACATTTAAATAAAACACTTTAACGGTTTAAAACGCGATATATTAGTTAAACTTATTTGAATTATGATTTTTAACTTCGGCCCGAAGTTTCGGATGCTTTGCAGCAGCCGTGGTCACGGGGATTTTCAAATAAGTTTAACTAATATTTCGCGTTTTAAACCGTTAAAGTGTTTTATTTAAACAAATACCATATTTTAGTCTACTCAACCAGAAAATTATTATAGTATGTATTAACTAATATAATATTTAATAATATACTGTATATAAATAATTATATAAGTTAATGCAAATATTGAACTGGTAAGAAATAAACGCACTTGTTATTACAATTTTATTTTTAAATTATTGTATTCCTACTTCCTACCCATTTAATATCCAGATTTGCAGACGAAGTCCAACATGTTTCAGAAAAGTTAGCAACATGTTGGGCCCGGTGGGGATCGTACCCACGACCCGTTGATTATTACCGATATATTGCAACCATTACACCAACAAGCCGATATGTTATACATAAATATGATAATGTTTGTTCATACCTGTGGAGGTGCCAGTATGTTCATAGTATATTCTATTTCTTGGGTCAGATCAGCTGACTCCAGCAGTCCTTTCAGAACCACGTGGCCTATGAGGTCATGGCGACTGAACCGGTCGAAGTCATACACGGAAAACTGGAGGTAACGTTGGCGTAGTTCTTCGTATGGCACACTGAAACAAAGGCTTTATTGATGACATTTACATTAGGAGAGTGTTGTATGTTTATTTAAATAAAACATTTTAACGGTTTAAAACGCGATATATTTTCGTTAAACTTGTTTGAAAATAATTTTAACTACGGTCCGACGTTTCGGATGCTTTGCAGCAGCCGTGACCACAGCTGCTGCAAAGCATGCGTAACCTACAGACAGTTGTACGTTGAAGTAATCCATGATACAGACGGGACTTGAACTACGATAAAATTCAAAAGAAAAGCCCTTTTTCCGAATGTCTTCCGTTAAAACCGGGATAATATAATATAGGATGTGTGAAGACCTGTTTCCCTCCGTTGGTCATGCGGTGAACACATTTTTGTGTCCGTTTAGCTGATCGGTTTCTTTAATAGCAAATAGTTGATAAGACTTCTGTGCCTGGCCCGACCGAAACAATTTATTGTGTCCCTGGGATTCTAACCCAGAACATCTCCCGCTTAGCGCAATGCTAGGTTACACGTTAACCATTTGGCTAAAGAGGCAGTCGTTTAGTGTACGCTCTCAATAACAGACATGAAATGAGATCTACGACTGACGATGACACAATATGAGTCATCGATCGCAAAAAAATGGTTTCAAATTGGAAAGTTTTAAATGACGTAATTGTGCATCTCTCATAATCCAATTAGAGTAAAGCCAAAGCGGACTTTTAATGATGTTAAGCTCGATTCTTAATTGGCCATACGATTCGGACCGTAAAAGGATACTTTCAGTGCCGATAAGCTTGTTTGTGCGCTTGCAAAAAAGTTTTCAGCTAAAGGGTTAACTTAATCAAAGTATGCCAATTTATCGCATAATTAAGTTTAGCGTTTCTTACTTTAAAGTTTTACATTCTTTTGCTTTAATATTATTACATTTTCTCTAAAATTATCCGGGAATTGGTAACTTGGGCAAGAATTTTCAATTGAAATAATGCATTGTTTAGAACGAGTTTTAGTCAAATATTTTTTATGACACCATGGAATTTACTCGATAAAATATGAAGTAGAATATATAGTCCATCCATATAACATCTAAAATGTGTTGTCGGCTTATTTTGATTTAGCCTTCAAAAATCCACAGACTGAAAACAAAACGTGATAATACTGCTTTTCCACCTACGACCGTTGGCTCGTGATACAAATGGAATTTTTAAATTTCTATATTAAAAAAATACAATTATTTCAGAAAAAATTGCACGTAGTAAAAATCGAACCACCGACCGTTCATTATTACCGTTAGCCGTACATTTCTATCAGTACATTAACGAGCCCGTCCACTTTAATTATTATCGATAGTTTTCACCAATTCTTCAATCAATCTTATCCTCGAGGATAAGATAGCGTTGGTGAAAACTAGAGAAACTAGAAGCGCTATTATCCCGAGATTACTGTAAAAATGGCGAAGTTTTATAAAAGTCTTCACCGATTATCTGACTATTGTAATTGTTGATTGCACTCCCTGTATTTTTATTTACAGTATTATGCAGGGCATTTATTTTAACGCGATCGAAACTTTTACAGTGCACAGAGATTTTATTGCATTATTTAAAATAATCCTCAATTTTTATTATTTTTCCCCTACTGCTGGTTTGTATCATACGATATTTAAAATAAAATACTTTTGACGGAATTAAAACGCGAAATGTATTTAATAAACGTATTGTAGATACGTTATAATATATTAGTCAAAATAATTTAAACAAAAGGGATAATCCAACTAACATCAAGTAAATCCCACGCTTCTCTACTCTTCCTCGTAGAAAAAGTCAACTTATACATGTCGCGATATAAACCGTTAAAAGTGTTTTATTGAAATTTATACTACTCGCGTAAACTTCAGACAGTATTTACGAAATACATAATTTATACAACCCATTTTAAAACTTGTACTTGTACTTTAGTCTGTATATTAAGTTGCATTAAATAAGTCACTAGCCGTTTAAAACAGAATATATAAAAATAATTTCATTTGGACTATGTCCTAAAATTTCGGTTCCTTTTCAAAAGCCGTTATTAACCAATGTAACTCAATAGACGAAAGAATATATTTTGCATTATCTTATTTACATTAAGTGACAGGTCTGGCCCAGTTTTTATGAATGTTTAAAAGAAAATACACATAAAATATAAGTTCCATATATATATAACATTAACATTCAACTCTTAAAGGTTTCAAAATATGAAACGGAAAAGAACAATATTGATTTTAAATTTGTTCACCTTCGCTTCCCTAAGCCTTATTAAGACCCAGATATTTTCGAAACGCATCAAGCGAGATAAAAGGCTTTTTTAGGGAAAATATTTACGAAAACGGATTGCGATATTTATACATTCGTCAATTAACTGAAATACTTTTTTCATTCGAATCAAACCACTTTTTTTCTTGTGACTTTGAACATTTAGTTACGAAGTACATTATAAAAAGATTTATCAAGTAAAGAGATATCCCATTTCCCCCCTGGGGTATGGGATAAACACATTTCTATGTCCGTTTCACTGATTCAACTTCAACTATTTGATTACTCTGCTGTGTCCTGACATGCTTAAACAATACATTATTTCCCCTGGATTCGAACTCAGGACCTCTCGCGTTTAACGCAATGCTAGGCCACACGTTTCACCATTTAGCTACAGAGGTGCAGTATTAGTAGTATCTAGAGTATTTTTTTCTTACCTGAACAAGAAAGTCTCGTTGAAAACCGGGTTCAAGTTCTTGCGATGAACTTTAGTCTGGAACTTTTTCTTCCGATCTGGCAGCAGGAACACCTTGATATATGGATCGCTGCTGCCAGTGACGTCCTTGATTGGCAAATCGCGGGCTTCGAATATCTAGAAAAAAGCGATGTTATCTGTAGTTTAACACACTTTTAATGATTTAAGACACCAAATATCCCTCCGTGACCCACAGCTTTTGCGTAGCATCCGAAACATCGTAGCATAATTAAAATGATAAATATTATCAGATTGAAAATATTCATGACACGGGTAGGTTTCAAACTTGGAACCATTAGCTTACTGTAAAATCTACCGATTGAGGTAACATTCTTTTTATGTAAAGATAGTAATTTTTCTTGTGCTATTTATTCTCCATTATGTACTAAATGTGGTAAATCAATATATTTTTTCTTTATTCCCTCACGATCGAGATTAGAAAAAAAATGTTTTATCTTATATATCTTGTCTAACCTAACATATTATATTAATGTTTGCTTTGACACCTCCGCTAGATTTAAACAAGTCACGATTTTACCTAGTATGCAAACTAGTGTTAGTAATCATAACTAAAGTAGCCGAGTGCGTGATGTGTGGTTATCACATTTTGGATCACGTTTTGGAACACTTCGTATATAATCCTACATAAATCTTCGGAAACATTTCTATCTATATAACTTTAATTTATTGATATTCATATCAAAGTTTATAACGTAACTACGTTATGATACACCCATTTAAAATACAAACTTAATTACAAAGTATTATTTTTAATATATTTAAAAACCAGAAAAAAGAGAAATTCCGTTTTCCTTTTGTAGTTCTTGAAGCACAAATCTCTATTTATTTATATTAATTAACCATTTTTTTTACAGGCGATTACTATCAAAATTCAGTGCCATATAATGTTTTCCCAGGTTTTGAACCCAGGATCTCTCGAGTTTATCATATTGAGCTGCAATCAATATCAAATATTGACAATTTAGGTGTTTTGTTATGTAAATAATTTAGATTTGAAATCAAACACACTTAAAACGCGTTCAAAGTTTGTACTACAACACATATACTCTCTGTAGTTATTTCAATAAAACACTTTAACGGTTTATAACGCGATATATATTAGTTAAACTTATCTTAAAAATTATTTTAACTACGGCCCGACGTTTCGTATGCTTTGTAGCAGCCGTGATCATGGAGATACTTGGATGGAAAGATGGACAGTGTCTCCGACGTCAAAGTAAATCACTGCTACGCTAGCGCGATCTGTTTCGTCTAATTTGGTATTTGGCGAAACTGACCGGGTCGTTACAGAATTCTTTACTCGCGTAAGCTACAGACATTACATTTTTTTTAAGTTTTACAAACATTGTTTAAGTTTTACAAACATTATCATGCAACACTTTGTAAGTATTATATAAAATGGAAATATTATACAAAAGGAAACATAAAAACATCCCTTAATTTCACTTTCAGAATAGCGTTTGGCTTTCTAAAATTAACCGCAATTACAACGTAATTAGTAATTAATCAACTGTTTAGAGATAATCTTGATTGTACAGTCAGGATAATAACAAACATACTAAGCCCACGATAACAGAGTGATTGAACCAGTAATCCCGTTTTATCGGAAGCGTAGATTATTGCTTATACACACTGTATTGTTAACGTGTATCGCACAAAGAGATAATCACCAGCTCATGCATCTAAGCTTGAAAAAAGCTTATAAAAGAATGGATAGATTGCATGTAAGGGGATATTGTTGGAGTATCTTTGTAAATATTTTTATAAACCGAATCTTTTTTAAGGTAAATATTACGGCGGCTTTCAGGATTACAATTAATTTACGATGTCATAGGTTAGATTACGCAAATGTATTGATTAATGACTCCTTATTTGGAATCGGGGAAGAACATTTGTACTGTTTAAATTTACGTAATATTCTTCAATTAAGAGTAAAACAATATTTCGTCTAGCATGGGTAACACGTAAAAAATCCTAGATGGATAAATCACTTGCGTGTCAATCAAATCACCCCATGCCCCAAATAAAGACAATTAGATTTCATTTAATTACACTGTATGTAAAAATAGCTTACAAATTATAAAAAAAAATATGACAGTGAACAATCTATTCTAACTGGTTTTTTTATATTTATTTTGTCAGGGATATACTAACTAGCATTCACAAGTCAAACAAGCAAGGGGTGGTAGATGGAATAGGCATATAACATCTAAACAAGATGTCCCGTCGACCTAATTTGGCTTTGGATATTACGCAATCTACAGACTAAAACCAAAACATGATTAACGGGTTTTTCATCTGTGGACGGTGGTTTGACCCGGACGGAATTTCGATATTCCTAACCAGTCCAAGATGTTTCAGAAAAATTATGAATTAAGAACAATGTCATGGTGGGAATCTAACCTATGACCCGTTGATTATTATGCCCGAGCCCGAGCCCGTAAATATATTATTATCAAATTTTTAATTATAATTTTTGCGCATAGAATTATGCAAAACACTGAGCAAAAACAAAAGTGAACTATCGTTAAGTTGATTACGTGAAACATCAATAACGATAAGGTAAAGTTAGGAGTCCTTTATTAAGCTGGAGATGGTTGGAGTGTGGGCGGCTGGTTTATAGGCAATATTGAGTTAACTGCCAATATTGAAACTTACTGGTAAATAAGATTACAACCAACAATCACTTGCTTTGATAAATTTGTTACGAAAATAAGTTTCATTAAATTCGGATAGCGAAATGTTATATTGTATACGTTATAAGAAAAACTTCTCGTGTAGGCAGGTACAAACTTATATATAAACATTCGAATCAATTGATCTAGAATATATCTACCATAATAATAGACGCCAAACACTACAGAATAAAGACTAGTAGTATATGTATATTGATAGCATAATATATGTAGTACATACACAATATATTAAGACTTCGTGTTAAAATAAACACGTGCTATAAACTTTTATATTTTTAATGTCATTGCGATTAGATAAATATATAGCTTCCACTGTAATGGTTCTGGCTTGCTTCAAGCGCCGAGAGGTTCTAGGTTCGAATTCCGGGAAAATGTATTAATCAGTTTTCGTCATTGTAAATAAAATCCATCAGTGACTGCCTCACGTTAGGAGAGATCTATAATACATATTATAAAGCTGGAGAGTTTGTATGTTTGTTTGAACATACTAATCTCAAGAACAAAATACATCTATCGAGGATGGCTAAAATCAGACTGCGACTAATAGGGGCGAAAAAACAGAAGGAAATATGCAAAAAACGGGGGAAATTATGTATCTTTGACTGATCCCGTTGCATTTGCATATATACCAGAATTATTATTTTTAAATAACCTAAAAAATATACATAATAGTATAATATGACATCTTTTAGGATTACCTCACAAGAAACGTTTTATGGTAATGAAATTCAGTCGAAAAAAGAGTTGTATAGTGAAGAAAGTTGAACGTGTACTTTTTCAAAATAATAATAATAATTTATTTATCAGACCATAATCCATCTATTTGTTAAAATTAATTTAAACTAAGGAGTGTTATTGGTTTGTGTCAATTTTTAACTTAAAATCTAATTAGTGTGTTAGTCACTAGAATTATGGAGACAAAATAAGACACTAGGTGCTAGGCTTTAAGGGGTAGCATGGACGTCACTCCATCGGTTTAGCAGCACTGTGTACTTCAAAATAATATTTGCTAATAGTACTTAATAATTATTACAGCTTTTTAAAGTTACGTCTTAGTACTCTCCGTAATAATTCATTCCCCGTTAATAACATCAAGCCCCAGAGGTTCGTCGTGAAATAATGAGTAACATGGGTACTCTTGGGGTTTAGGTGGAATTTGAGTAAATCTCTCTAAAGTAATACAGAAGCATATTAAAATGTCTATTGTTTAATTTACGAGAAATTACGTCTTGAGTATTTGAGTTCTTCGTATTGACTAGGGACACGAATCTTAACTTCTATCCGAAGATATATTTTTTTGTTTAAATTCTACTCGTATCTTTATACTAATATGTATAATACGAAGTAGCTGTTGAAAAAAGTTTATAATGTGTGAACTTTAAAAAAAATTATTTATAATAACATATCACCTAAGACTTAGATCGGTTTGGTAAATTTAACTTCCAGCCGAAAGATTTTTATTTTTATCTTTTTTAAAAATCGTTCGATTGAATTTTTTTTACGACACGGCCAGGACTTGAACCAGTATACAGCGTTCTGTTCTTTTTCTCTTATCAATTAAGCTACCTAATTGATAAGAGAAAAAGCACAGTACTACACGTCACCGTCGAATTTTTTCAACCTATTGAGCACCTCACGCGCAATGTAATCTTATTCTTAAATACTTTCTATAGTTTACGCGAGAAGTACACATTTAAATAAAACGCGATATATTAGTTAAACTTATTTAAAAATGATGCAGCAGCCGAAACGTCGGGCCGAAGTTAAAAATCATTTTCAAATAAGTTTAACTAATATATCGCGTTTTAAACCGTTAAAGTGTTTTATTTAAATCTTATTCTTGCAATGTATCTCTTTTGTTTAGATTCTATATGTACTTATACAACAACAAAATAGATTTAAATAGATGAATGTATAATTTGTAAACTTCTTGAATATTAATGTTTGTTTAACTTACCCTAACATTTATCTAATCGCAAACACTGCGAGACAGAGATCTATACTAATATTATAAAGTCAAACAAAATATCTTTTATTTTGACTATTTGAACGAAATCGCAGGATTTATAACAATGAGAAGGTTTGCGAAAACAAATGTTGAGGCCCAAAATAACTAGCTAGCACAGCTAGACTTTGATATAAGCACATAATGTAGCGTGCCCTTGTTCACAGTGCTTTTGTTTACGTAACGTCTGAAGCAACTCGCATACCGTTTTATCCACTTCCTATTTCAGAATTTAGCTTTCATAGGAAGTTCAATTGAAGTAGTAAACAGCGGTATAAGTATTTACCTTAACAACCAAAGCTTCCACTTCCTGGTCGTATTTCAAAGCGAAGTGCAGTTTCCCACAAAATTCCAACTCCGCGCTGTCCGTAGACGATTGGCGAACTAATTCGCTCTTGTAGAGTTCGGGCTGAAACAAATTACGTAGGTTATACAAGTTTCTTGACCTATTTAATGGTGGCAATTAAACTTTCATGCTTGTCTTATAAATATTTTTATTTAATCTGGAGAAAAGAAATAAATAGTGTTCGCGTTTTAACGATTTAAAACACGAGCTATATTAGTCTTTTTATGACGAAATATGGTGACTAGTGTAGTGTAGTATGTCACTAGTGTTGAAGATTTGCCATTGACTTTAAGGAGAAAAGTCACCCACCGTTTTCAGAAACGAACTTTGAAAAGAACCCGACTGTAGTTTAATTAAATTACAAATATGTTGTTGTGTGTTGTATGCATGTTTTAAACCGTCAAACGTATTTTATTTTAATACGTTCTACTTTCTAAAACTACAGACAATGACAAGTTTCTGATTTTCATTTTGTTGTTCACGATTTACATTCCTAAATGAATCTTATTATACAATGTTCAGGATAGTTAACACGGGACAAAGTTAAATCTTTTGACTTAATTATTAATTTAAAATTACACTGTTTCTGAAAACATCTCGAAGTTTGCATAAAATAGTACCCTGAAGCTACGTAAATTAACTTGCCAATAAAAGAATGCACCTTTCATGATGCTCTTAAAAGAACGAAAAAGAAATAATGCTCTTATATACAACTCGGAAAGAAGCTTTGAGGAAATCGATCATGGTGCAAAACTGTTCTTTACTTTCTTTACGATATATTTGAGAAATATAAAAATTATATGTTATAATAAGTAGTTATCGCCTTATTTAATTAATCATTAAAATCTATAGATTTTAATGATTTTGGATTGGATACAAAAGACTTATTGGTCTGTCACAATTAAATAATATCGATATTATAAAAAAGACGAGACTCACTTTAAATGAATATTACAATAAATCTGATCTATAAATAAATTTAAAAAATCTAATTTAATTATCAATGTAGTCAATGCGACTAGTACTACTTTATATATACATACGCACTGGTTTTCAAAATAATAGTTCATTTATCTACTTAAAAATAAATTAGCTAACAAATTTCGCGTTTCAAAGCGATAAAAGTGCAAAAATTATAATGTCTCATACCGAACAAGTATACTACATTGATTTAGTCTTATATACCTCTAGAACAGACACATGAATGCATTTACCCCTCGCTCCTCAGGACCTGATAATCCTGAAAATAGTGATTTCAAAATTGAAAACTCTAACTCGACCTTTAACCATAATGTATTTCCCGAAAGGTTAAAAGGTAAAATCGTAAAATACCTTTGTGCCAATGTAAAAACGTATTTACGACATCTGCCGCAATTTCACAAACAATAGGCTCAAAGCGTTATTCATGCTTTCAATAATAATAATTTTACGACAGGGGTGCGGTTCTAAAGAAAAGCTATACCACACTATATCACCATTAAATCCTAAAACTTTATTTGAAAAATAAAAAAGGCATTTTTTCTTACAAATTGCGCGAAATAGTATTTAAATAAAACACTTTTAACAGTTCAAAACGCGAAATATACTATAATAGTTAACTTATTTTAAATTTATTTTAACGACTATGTACTTTTCTAAGTATTTTAGAAAGTGTTTTGTTAAAATGGAACTAAAACGTTTTCGAAAAGGCAACTCATACAACATTTTAAGCACAAAAGATAAACACTGGTTTTTTATATAACACTCGTGGACAGAGAATCTTACGGTTCACTAGATGAAAGGTAAAATACCTTAGGCATATAACATCTAAACAAGACGCACTGTCGACCTATTTTGGCTTTGAACTTTCGGAGTTGTTCGTAAAAAATATACATTGATTTCAGACACATATATATGATATCAGAACCAAGGGCTGCTTTAAACCGTTGCTTAAATTTTAAGGTTAATTGGCATTGCATTAAGCGATAACAATCCTCGGTTTGATTCCCCGAAAACGTAATTTCTCAAATACTTTTATTCATATAAAAGCATTTGCGATATTGCATTTTGTCACAATGCAAGGTAGCTGACATCATAAAAAATGTATAAAAATAATAATATCTATCGGAGAAGTATCCACAAAATATGTCTGTTAGAAGTCGTATATAAAAGGAAAGAGGTCAGTTATTTATAACATCATTGTAATCCGGTGATTTTGAGATGGTATTTCATACCTATCTTACATACTTTACAAAATACGACTTTGATATTTTGAAAGAACCCCGCTTTCGGAAACCTCAATGTAACTTTGATCATTCCAAACGAGAGGAGTTATAACTCAACTAATTAACAAGTTATCTTTCCGTACTCGCTTGTTAATTTGTAGATTGATAAATTAATCCAAATTCAAACCATTTTTAACGGAAAATATATATTAACGGTATTGTTTTAATCGTTTGTGTCGTTCGCTATTATACCAAGCGATATTAATCCATTAACACACGTAATCCGGAAAGTCCATTATCGAAATAATATAAACTAATGGTATCCGAAAGAGTATGTATTAAATGGAGTTTACTTGTAACAAGTAAATGTTATAATACTTATTGTGGAAAATATGGAAAAAGGTATTTAAAATTATAGTTTTGATCTGGAAAACATTTTAAGGAAATAATACCTATGCCAGGAGTTCCAGCTCCTATCGCTAAATATTTAAACATGCATTATTTTAATATTGGTATTTGTGTGTATAAGTATGTGAGTGGACGTGTATGTGTGTCTTGATGATGATGTTTGATGTATTTAAATTTTCATAAAATTTTAAAAATTCGCTATTTTGCGTATTAAGTATAATCTTTGCTAGAGTAGTTCTCTTAGAAAACAAAAGGCTTGACGCAGCATTCAAGACGATTGGTCAGTTAAGAAGTGTGTTATTGATATATAATTTAAATGATGCATAATTTAAAAATCTATGTATTTAGAGTTATCATTGATAGAATACAAAAATAACGAAGGTGAAAAATATTAAAGTTTCAAATATCAAAGTATTAAAAATTATTTTCTACTTTTCTTCTTTTACTAAATTGAATAAGAGGCAGTATCTCATCATATCATCAACGCGAATAGTCCTACTATATATATACATACGCCCTGGTTTTCAAAATATATTAGTTCATTTATTTTTACTGCTATTTAATTAAAAATAAATTAACTAATATATCGCGTTTTAAACCGTTAAAGTGTTTTATTTAAATGTGTACTACTCGCGTAAACTATAGACAATATTTAAGAGGCAGTAGTTATAAACCCGGATGATAATTAATAATGTATATAAGAGTAAAACCTAAACCTAACTAGAGCTAATAAAAGTGTAAGTAACGCGATGTATGTGCATATCCTACGCTCTAATGGCTACTGAGTAACGAGTACAAAGTCGTAACTAGTGATTTGAAAAATTCACTTCATTTAGCAGTTTAACAAGGGAACTAGTTTTTCAAGTTATGGCACACTTCCGCGGTGCTACAGCGAACTACTTTTAATAACTGTCCAGAAAAAATACTATTAATTTTTCGTATCATTTGGGCAACTTTGGTCCCAAATAACATCTGAGTAATACATGCGCTAGATCAAAATTTTCAGAAATATAAGTCACATTGATATCTTTACCGATTCTACATATCTGTAAAGGATTTATATACGTAAGTAATTTTCCTAAAACGCAGCAATAGTTTAACAATTTTTAATTTTCAACAAGGAATTGTGATTAAACAAATTGTGATAAAAAAAGATATCGGAAAGATATCTTGGATCGATAATTGATAAGAAATTAAACTGGAATGAACATATAATTAATATAAAAGGTAAACTCTCATCCTTAGTACTCACTTTTTACCATTTGTATCCCGCCCAAAGTAAGAGAACTAATTTGCAATAGCGTACTTAAACCTTCTTTACTGTACCTTATCGAAGTATGGGGTAGTTCTTCCAAAACAAATTTAAAACCACTACAGATATTACAAAACAAAATCATAAAAATATTGTATAAATACGACTTCCGAACTTCTTCAAAAATAATTTATAGTGACACGAAACTATTCACAATTCAATAGCTTTATACATATAACACCTGCGTTCTGATTTATAAAATAATCAACAATCTAACACACTCAAATATTACATTTGAAAAAACTACCTAACAAAAGTCTACAACACCAGACGTGCTAGCTTGTTATCTCTTCATAACATACGCACAAATTATGGCAAAAGTTCGATAACATACTCTGGAGCGCAATTATTTAATGGTTTGCCGAAATTGTAACAGATGCAACTTCACTAATTGTCTTTAAAAGTAAACTCAAACTTTTCCTACTTACCAAAAACGAATAATTCATAATAAGTATATCATTTTATCAATAAGAAATTAATTCTCAATTGAAACAATAATATTATGTAAATGTTATTAAAATTTTATAAATAAAAATATTAATTAATCGTTCTTTACTTGGACCACCGTCGAAGTGAAGTTGGATCTTGTTTGAACCAGATGTTACCATATAGGCTATTTATAGTTCGCATGAATTTATTTAAAACTACCCGCGTGATGAAATGTAATTATTTTAATTTAAGTAGTTATAAGTTCCTCATGTAAGTGATGTAAATCTGAATGAGAAATAAATGTCTTTAAACCGAAACAAATCTTTTATAAGTGTTATGTATAAATGTATCTTTAGTTAATTATTATATTTTTTTTTGTATTTTATTCGTATTTCACAAACTTAATATTTTTACTATAATAACAAGTTATGTATGTATATATTTAACGAAATATAATATAAAAAATAAGTTTTATAAAAAAAAGATGTCTTCTCTTGACGGGTGGGGAAAAGAGGGGTTTAATTTATTTATTATCACACAAATTTCGAAAATAATTACAAAACCAGTAGTAGACAAGACCGAAAAATCCTTAATTATGTAAATAATTTATAAGAATACATTAGCATAGCAAATAATAAGCCCATTTCAATTAGTGAGCAATTTATTGGGGTCAGGCAATGCGGTGTCAGGTCGCACCCTATCTTCTGGGGCATTGAACGCTCCACGGTGTGGAAACCAATATGATATATACCGAGAACTACAAGTGCTAACAAGAAGTTTTTCAGGCATTTCTGATCACATATAACAGTTGCCTCCGACAATGGGTTTAAGCATTCAGGGATCCGAGGTAATTATTCCATTATTGTGATCATAAATATTTTTAATAATATTAAATGAAAGATTGATTCACACGCTAAATAAGCCCAATATGCCATGCAGAGAGTTATATTAGGGATATCTCTAGTGGATAAACTTCAAGACGATGACATCTACCATAAATCGACAGTGACGTTGATAGCTAGCAAAATTGGTGGGTTGTAGCAAAGGAGCGGAGGTATCTGCACAAGAGAAGATAATCGTTGCGTTGGAGTAGAACACTGGAATGGAGACCATAATTAAACCCAGTGTAAGACGACTTTTAGCGCGGTGGAGTGATGACCCGAAGAAAATAGGCAGCAGCAAATGGATGAATAGGGCTCAAGAGAAGGACGAATACTTTGACAGAAGTCTACGCCCAGCTGTGAACGCATACAGGCTGATGATGATGAGATTAGAGAAAGACACAATACTCAATTTACGAAATTAAAACAACAATATGAATCTGAGAATTACAAGAAGACACGAGTTCACAGGAAGTTAATAATCGTTAGCTCATAAAAGTGTAAAATTACAAAAGAAAACATTTTATTCACACAAGAATCATTTAATGAAGACGAGATCAGCTTCCGAGAAGTTTTTTAATCTCATATACTTTATTATTGTTGTACTCTACATTCCAATCCTGTTTTTTGCTCGAAGTCAATAACTTTTAAATTCGTAATTACAATTATAATTGTTTTTATTGTAATTGTCAATTTTTGTAATGTTGTTTATTAAGCACACTAAAAAATTAAATATTATTTTTTCACCAAAAAGGAAAGCTCGTTTTCCCCGTGATAACTGTGGTACCATATCTATATAAAATCCGAAATCTTTGCGCTGTTGATTTATTTTGGCTTTATATACTCAGAAATGCACAATCTGAAACCAACATTCGTAGTTCAGAAGCATCGAGGACAGGAGGAGGAGTTTATTACAATTACAAAAGCACCCACATTTTAAACTTACTTTTATCAATCCAATGGAGGAATCAGCACGTTCCAGGCTGCAGATGCTGAACTGTATCGAAGGAAGATCCAAGCGATGGGACAACTGTCGTTGGAAGGTCTGATGCCGGTCTGGTACGATGGGTAGCGTAGTCTGCCTTAAGACCTGGGAATAAGAGGAGGAGATTTGGTTTAGTTCAAAATTTTTACTTCTGAAAGTATTAAGAATGTATGTTAATGTTTCAGAATTATATAAACCTTCTTAGCAGAGTGCCAGACGATATCTAGCTACCGTTCAGCTACAAAGAAGTCGAGATTATAGAAAGGTTATCCGTTGAACTTGAGAAGATTTAATACTATCTTGTATTCTGTAGGCATTCGAATTTGTAAATAAACGTAAGATCAACGGTATTTATCCTCAAATATTGCGTAAATACTAATACAATTTTATGGGTTTTATGTAAAGAGCACTCCGATTGATTGGTACAACTTCAGACATGTCAGTTTCGTACCAAAGCGCTGAAGGAAAATAATCAACATTACTAACATATATTTAAAAAGTAGCTTGTGCCCTCAACTTCGTCTACGCAGGATTAGGATTACGTAGTATCGCGCATTTAAACTAAATGGCGTCTATCATATCATACATTACATAATTATGGCAGCGCACGCCAGAATAGCTCGCACTAAAGGTAGGTTTTTTCCTAGTTACTTGACACTTAATGTTATATTTTGGACAGCTCACATAATATATTTATAAATTGTAGCCTATGTGTTATTCTGATGTATAAGCTATATTATTGGAAAGTTTAATTGACATCCAGTCAGTAGTTTTTGTGTGAAAGAGTAACAAACATCCAGTCACACATACAAACTTTCACGTTTATAATATTAGTAGGGTATACGGGTATGTCTCGGAATGTCCTTTTAGGATAGAGAAGGACAGACAAGCATGTGGTTCATTTTTGTAAAGTGTAACTACACCCACCATCCAAACCCAACCAGTCTATTTTGGCTTTGGATTCGAAATCCACAGATTGAAACTTAAACGCAGTCAAACTTTACAGTTTTATCAACTGCGAGCGGTGCTTCGTTAGCCGGACGTAATTTTGATATTTCTTCTACTCAATATGCAAGATTTCCAGACGAAGTTCAACGTGTTTCAGACAAATTATAAAATGATTTGAAGCAAGTTGGATTCAGTGAACATCGAACTTGCGACCCGTCCATTATATGCCATGCATTGCTGCATGCACCATTAGATCGACGAGCCTAACGAAAAGTTCAATTAAAATTTGAGCCGTAACGCGTTACATAAGGCATAATTCCATAATTTATTATATTCTATATATATATTCTAGTCTAGTGTAAAAAAATGTATATGAGTATAAGAATGTCTCGCCAGTCATAATTTTGTTGTTTACTTTTATATTTTAAAAAAAAAAATAAAAATCGAAAATAAATTGAAAACATTTTCGACTCTGGCAGGACTTGAACCGGCATCGTCAGCGTTCCGTGCTGTTGCTGTATTATTATGTTTAAGTAATTTAATTTATATTATATTATTCACATTCAGTGTAGACTTAGCAGATTATCAATTTTGATTAAATGAACGCCTCTTGGGTACATTGGCTCCCGCTGCGGTCTTAGAGCAAACAATTTTGTTTGATACACATATAGACCTATCTTAAACTACAGTTTAGGTACTACTTATAATAAAATTAAAAGTATTAAATTTAAAATATTATAAGCACGTTTCGAGTCTAATTCGAGCGATTTGGTTTCAGTTAAGCGAATAAAAACGACGAATTCACTTTATTTAGTATGTATGAACCTCGAAAAGCTTTCGTTCACTAATACCAATACAGAATGAATAATGGATTTTTAAGGTTACATTTTACTGAGATACCATTGTGATTTGTGGGTGTAATGTATCATACATTTTAATCCGCATATAATACCACAAACAATATTTACATTTTTCATTTAGCAAACTTTAATCTGTTTTCTCAAATGTCTACTATACTATATATTATCATAATAATGTAATAGAAACAGTTTGTCACTAAATTTCAAATTTTATAGATATACGGGAAGTTTCTAGGCAGTTTTAGTCCATCTGGCCGGTCTTTTATTTTAACTTAAAGTAGTTCATATCAAATGTCACAAAACGCACATTTTTTTATTACAGTTATATTTATGAAAAGCTAATTTTAATAATTCTGTCTGTTTTTCAAATTATTATTGGTCACATTTAGGATTTTTTTTTAATTGGGGGCATATGGCAGACATGTTTCATTGCGACAAAAAAACCCTAAGATTCGAACAGAAGATTTCAGTGCAATTCCAAACATGGAAGCGAAAGGTATACAGACTTATACCCACGAAACTCAGCAACTACTTATAAAGGGAAAGCTATACAGAACCTTGAATGTATAACTTTTTTATAAGGTTGATATTTAAGTCTGCTTTGGACAAAAACGTTTGTATTCACGGCAAATTTTAATAATTGAGATCTACAATTTGTAAAAATCTACCTAATCTATTAATTACGATTTAAGCTAAGTTATGTTCTATAAATTAAAGTAAATAATATATAAGTACTTAGAGTAAAAACCGAATTGGAGAAGAGGTTTTTTACCGATCCCTCTCTACCTACTCGTAATTGTTGAATGTATGATGTTAATTTCCAACTTTCGTTAGAGCAACTGAGAGTTTCGTTTACAACTTTTCGGGGCGTCGCCTTTATTGGGATTTTGACCTGAAACTAAGGTTAATAACCGGCCATATAATATTTTGACGTTTATAGTCACAGACGCTAAATCAAGCAACATTTAAATTTTAACGTTTGTTTAATTTATACCATAATCGAACCAACGAATATATATATTTTTTTAAATTGTAGACAATAGAAAATCTTAAAATAAAAAGATACATATCTATCGAAATATATAACGTAAAATAAATCAATAAGTACCCGAACCATAGCCTACAACAATAGCCAAAAGTATTACAATTTATATTTCGTCGTAGGTATACAAAATACACACTGGCTTTTGTATACCTACGAGTGTTTGTACGAAATTAATCTACATACATAAGAAACAGTACAACTTACATAAATCCATTCTTATACTTTACTAGCTGAGTTAGCGACTTCGTACGCGTAGAATAGTTATTTAGGGTATCAATTTTTGTTTTTGCAAAGGTCCTGTTCAACTCTATAAATTTGACTTGTAAGAACGACGTCGTCCGCGTCCCGTCGTTCTTACAAGTTAATTTTACAAGATAGACATATACTGTCGCGTATTTTTGATCATTAAAGAGGCATCATTCCTTCGTACATATTTTTTGTACACAAGGATGAATAATTTTCTCGTTTATATTTCCCGCTGTTACTTTGTTCCTACAGGGATTATCACTAAAACAAGAAATGCTCTAACCATCACAAAAATAATTTTTCAATTCGAACCAGTACAGTACCAGAACTAGTAGTTCCTGAGATTAGCGCCTTCAAACATACAAACAAACAAACAAACTCGTCAGCTTTATATATTAGTATAGATTGTAACCATTTAACGAAAGACAACAGAGTTAACAGAGTTTATAACAAAATATTCGGTGTGAAGTCGGTACAATTTTGAAGCATAATAATACAATCTCTGTACAGTGTGACCAGACACGTTCATTGTGTGTTTTATTGGCAAATTATATGCATTGGGGATCAAATTTCGTCTTTGTTTGTTTAGTCTTTAAACTGCTATATATATAACAGTAGGAGTTTGTCTGTGGACTAAAGACAATGGTAACATGTCAGTGCATTTTATTCTTAGTAACAATATTTTGTACTACTTACTTGCGCTGTTTCTATATATATATATATATATATATATATATATATATATATTAACTTTTTGGAAGATTACATTAAATGCGATAAGTCAATTATATCCATATTTTTAACTAGCTGTGTTAGCGACTTCGTCCGCCTCCCGTCGTTCTAGCAAATGAATGTTAAAAGATAAACATATACTGTCAGGGATTTTTTCAGTTCGTTTAAAGTAGAATCATTCTTTTATACACATTTTTGCGTGTATAAAAGAATGATTCCATTTTCGCAGAGTACGCAACGGAAATCTCTAATCATTTTCTCCGTTTTTTTTTTTACATTTCCCGCTGTTTCTTCGCTGCTATTAGACACATTACGAAGTTTTATAGCCTATATATAGCCTCCTTCAATAAATACTCTAACCAACACAAAAAATATTTTTTTAATTCGAACAGAAACTATTCTATGATTAGCGCGTTCAAACAAACAAACAATCTTCAGCTTTATATATTAGTATAGATCAAACCAGAATTTTAGCTAGCTACCTTAGTACCGACAACTAATATAAATTTCTAAATCAGACATATAAATTGGTAATCGCACTTTTACGATATATATTGTGAAAAATTCAATTACTTTGTTGTCCAGTTTAGATAGATAATTGTATATATGTGTCTACAAGTTTTTAGATTAATATTCAACAAATAATACGAAGTAACATAATCTTAAAAGTTCTATATTTATAGAAAAAAGATGTAGGACATTTTAGAATGAAAATGTTTAAACAAAACAGTTTAGCGGTTAAAAACGCGATATATATTAGTTAAACTTATTTGAAAATTATTCTACTACGGACCAACGTTTCGGATGCTTTGCAGCAGCCGTGGTCACGGGGAGACCATGTCTTGTACACGTAGTTAAAATAATTTTCATACAAGTTAAATTAATATATATCGCTTATAAACATGCTAAAATGTTTTATTTAAATGTTTACTACTCGCGTAAGCTACAGACAGTATGAACATTTTTGAACACTTTCGTCAATTGCCCTGAATTCCTCTTATATTTACGAGGGTAGACTATAAAGTAATCCCATAAAACAAGGGAGGAGTGTAACGAGTATAGGTACATGACAGAAAACAAAAGCCAGTTACATACATTATGACAGATGAAAAGAAGATAACTTACTTATTTTAATATAGAAAATTGACAAGCTCGACCCACAATCAGGAAAAGTGGAATTCATATTGACATAAAATCCCGCTAGAGGTCGCGATGAACGGATATTAAAAAATAATAGCTCGTTTGCGTGTTCTGCATTGGAATCTATAAAGCTTTAGTTATGTTAAAATGTTGACATTGAACATAATTATTTTTTCTTTGTCTCGGTTTTAATAGGATTATCATATATTATCTGTAGTTTACGCGAGAAGTACACATTTAAATAAAACCACTTTAACGGTTTAAAACACGATATATTTTAGGTAAACTTATTTAAAAAATATTTACCAACCCTAGTGACCACGGCTGTAGCAAATCTGTCGAAACGTGGGGCCGCAGTTAAAATTTTCAAAAGTTTAACTATTATATTTCGCGATTTAAACCGTTAAGAAATTTAAAAAAATGTGCCTGATAAATAAATAAAATTAAAAAAAAGTCCTTTTATCACGACCATTTTAAATATTTAATTTAACTTCATACTATGTGTAAATAATTTTGAATTTTTGTAACAATTACCAAAAAATAAATAATAAAATTCTAATTAGGTAATAATCGTCGTCACCACAAAGAACTTTTCTGAATTAATAACCCTCTTAAAGCGTACATGCAAAAGATCTTAACAAAAGCTTTTTGCAACCAGTGAGGTTAATGAACCCACAGTACGAGAAAATTCATAAATTGTAAGTTTTTTTGCTTATATCCTTTTAAATACATATTCGTTCGCAAATTACTTTTATTTTATTTATTTTAAGTAACGCGTACAAGCAAATAAAAAATACACTGTTGTCACCACAAAAATGGTTGGAATCTGCTTCCAATTTCCGTTCGTTTAGCCGCCTCACTCTCATCCTTTAAACAGCTTCTTGTTAAGTGTGATTTACATTACATTTACATTTTACCTTTACAATCTCAAACTTAACGTTTATAAGTAATACGTAAAACTATTTAGATTTTAAGTTTCGCACTTCCTGCACATTTTTCTAAGATGGGTCGCCTGGAAGAGATCGCTTAATAGCAATAAGGCTGCCCGTTACAGTCCATACTTTATAGATAATATTACTATTATTTAGATTATTGTAATTGTGTACCTGTGTTGTGTAAAAAGCATAAATAAAAAAATAAAATAAAAACATCATCAAAATAAAAATCCAACTTGATGAAATATGTAGTGAGAAACGGCGGTCTTGTCGCTAAAAAATATTTCTTTCAGGCAACTCTGAAGATGGGACAATAAGTAACAGTTTGACTTTACGTAATCTAGCATTAGATATTAATAGTATTTATTTATATTTTTTATAAAAGCCCGTATGATTGTTTTATTACTCTTAAGAAAAATGATATATCAACAGTCGCTACCTATAAATATAGCCTGATCGTAAGAAAAGTGTAGAAAATAAATATGAAATGAAGATAAGCAATAAGAAAAGATCCAAATAATATTTAGACGTGGACTCATAAAACGGTCATAGACCTTCATAACCTATCTAAGATTCCCAGGTAACCTTTGTCTTCCTTCTTTATCTTCAGACTCCCGAGTAACATTTGGCTGAATATTTGTTATTATGTATTATAGACATCTCTTGCTTATCCTTTAATGACCAAATAATACCTTTTCTCTATAAACGTGAAAAAACATAATTAAACAGTTAAAAGTGGCAGCTGTGGTCACTGGGGGTTGATGGTCGATGGAGAGTGTCCCTAATGTCAAAATCAAAACTACTCCGCTAGGGGCTATCGCGCATAAATTGTAAATACATTAACTAATATATTTCGCATTTTTTACCATTAAAAGTGTTTTATTTAAAAGTCAAGATCAACACAAATGCAAAACGTACAATGTGATTATTAAACATTTAAAAGATGTTTAAGTCTCGCCCGTGTAGTCAAATATATGCATATATACATTTTATGTTATGATGTGCGTTAGTGTGTGAAAAGTAATAAAGTTTTCAAATCAAATCAAAATACGTAGGTATTAAGGTTGAAATTACATTACACTTGTTGCATATTTCAATAGATTGAAAAAAAAAATGAAATGCCCCGTTCGTGTAGGTATTTTTTTCAGTTTAAATTGATTTTAATATCTTTATTAATATTGATATATCTAAACTGCATATTACTCACTTTCTTAGCTGCGTCTTTATGCTCCTGGACATATTCTTCTTTCAGGGGCTCCGTCTGAAGGTCAGGAAGAGAATGACTAATGCGGATCGCTGCTTGGCGCGAGAGTGAATCGCAGTTGCTGTCTTGCGAGTCGCGGCGAGTTCTGTAACAACTTCAAACAGTCATTCTAGACTTTGTAGTGCGAAAATGAAAACAAAAGAAGATGTTGCCAAGAGAAATAAAATTGAATAAAGAAGAAATGATCTCGAAAAGAGTTCCAAAAACTGCAAATGTAATGTCCTACACTATTATAAATTTACAGAATGTTGTATCCCAGCCTATAGTTAATTAATCGGTCATATCAGAAGTGAGCATAAAAAAATTTGTATCTATAAACATATATATCACATTTAAAACCGTTACAAATGTTTTATTTAAAGCATATCGTATAAATGCTTTGCAGAATTTTGAAATTTAATATCCACATTTTCCAGACGAAGTCTTGTCGTTTCAGAAAAAACTATACACTAATTTTAGAGACATGTTGAATTTGGTGGAAATAGAATCCACGACCCATTGATTATAAGTCATAATTTTTCCAACGAACCCGCCGCTCTTGAAAGCAGAAATCGATTTATTGTTATGCATGCTGTAGCAATAGGTCAGGAGAGAGCGATTTATCAGCGTGCAATATTGAATTTTTCTATGAAATATTAGCTCTGTTTTCAATTGTATTCCTCTCGTATTTTTAACGGCTTTACCTTTTTTTTAGTAAGAGGGTCGCTTCATAATAAGAGTACTATTGAATCACATCTTCCTTACTCACTCAAAATTATAATTCACTGAAAATGCAAGTCGCACATTATCAGTTACATAACTTGTTCGGTTAGATAAACGATCAGCAAGTGGCGGCCGGTATTCGGTGTATGAATTTAAATAAAACACTTTAACGGTTTAAAACGCGATACACTAGTTAAACTTATTTGAAACGGATTTTTAACTTCGACCCGACTTCTGCAAAGCATAAGAAAGATGCTTTGCAGCAGCCGTGGTCACGGGGAGACTTAAGATGGAGGATGTCTCTGAAGCCATCTGTTCCGTCGAAGTTGGTATTTGGCGAAACTGGCCGGGTCCTTACAGAATTGACATTGATTCTTATCAAAATTCGTTATCGCTTTGTTACTATTGACTCGGTGAAGGCGCCAAGCCTTCATTAATAGGCATAGTAAAGAAGGAAATTCAATCTGTGAACGAGAAAATCGATGGAAAGCATACATAATATATTTTCCACCCTTCCGCTTACCTGCGCTGAGCCTAGCTATGTATTATCTTGTGAAATGCAATTTCCTAGAGATAGTTATCTCGAACAATGTTATTACTCGGTTGGTCACGCCTCTAACTATGGGCCTAAGTTGGTAATAAAGAAAATTATGTAACGATTGTCTTCCTAAGCGTGATATATTGCAACATAACTTTACTTAAGTTACACTAACTAAATTAAATCTTTTATCTCAAAAATAAATGTATGCTATTAATTTTTATAATACATAAAGTTAGGTAAGACGTCATCTTTTTATTGTTTAAATAAATTTTAGCCCACCTTAAATTTAACTTTACAAACGTTCCTCACCTGCCCATCAGCCACCTCCAAGTAGCAGCGCACTGATAGCCTACAGCAGCTAGCAGCACGGCCGCCATAGCAGCGAGCATCAATGCTGCTGCGTAGTCCAACGAGCTGCCGAACACCTCACCTGACTGCGCTTCTAAGCCCTCCGGTTTCCACGTTTCTATAACATTAAAATCAAAGTCTAAAATGATTATAAGGCAACAGTTTCCACTATGGATACACGGGATACCTAAGAGAGATTATAAGGCAAACTCTACCACAAGAAACATTCCGAAAATGGGACGACAGCGCATCTTGCCGAGTTGTTACATAGCCAAGGTACTTCATCTTTCATTGAGTCAACTCCTCATGTTGTTTGTCTTCTTTTATTATAAAAAAATAATTCTAAAATTTGCCGACTGGCTTACAAAGGTTTTCTACATTAAAAAAACAACATATCATACATTTTTTTTGCACGCTGAAGGATCGAATTATCGACCGTATGAACGTGAACATTCGTCTTTGCTATAAGAATAAAAATAAGTAAATTGATTTTATTTTTTATTTATATGTAATACAATCAAAAATCCGATAGCAACATTACGGTCCTTCGTTACTAATTGTAGTAAAGAAGCTAAAAGTAACCTCGCAACAATAAATAAAGAAAGCAAAGTCATTGTTTCTTTCAATTCGCGAAATCACAAAACGTTAATTGAATAGACGAAGAATGACGTAAGGACGTAAATCAAACTGTTACTAAGTCTAATAATTGTGGAAGTGGAAAGTATTTGTTCATTTGAACTTATTATCGTTACTGTTGCTAGGAGGATGTTTATTTTGAATAAATTATTATTGAGAATTTCAGGCTACAGATCTGCCTTTAGCAAGGTGATATTAATAACATTACTATTGAACAAATTATAATTGTTAAGAGTTCCGTTCCTTAACCATTACAATATGTTAAAATAATTTTATAGGTTCGTTAATTTAATTTAATTTTTTAAAATTATATTTTTAAATAATACATACAGTTATAAGATCATAAAACAAGTTGCATATCAGTTGTTAAAAAAAACTCTTGCTAATCCTATTGCTGTATGAGGCTTTGGTCTAAAATGTAGATAGAAATACATTTGTAGCAAAATTTTATATTTATGTGTAATTTAATTAACTAGAACACTTAGCCTCCGAAAATAGCGAAAGCAAGTCTAGTACTTTGCGCATGGCTCCGAACTCTTAATAAACAAAGGTAAAAAGTTTCAATCATGTACGGCACAAATGTCTGATTGGCTACTTGTTTATACATATAATCGATCTAATGAAACACATGAATGACACACACAAAACAAGAATGAAATAAATGACAAGTGGTTTAAGGTTTAAGAAATAAAAATAAATATATTCTAAATTCAAAATCACAAGTATAGCATCTACGCTTCGTCTGTACATCACAAAAGGTCGATTAAAGTCTGTTCAGAGCTCTAACTATTCCCAGGGCAAAACTAAACCTGACGTCTAAGTATTACCGTTTCAGTTTTCAAAGTTGTAAACGACGGAACTAATACCATAAAACCATTATGCTATGGCGCTTAACATTAAGATTAATATATTATTGGATTTTGTGATAATAGTTCTATGATATTTAATATAAGATGGTACTTATTGTATTGTTAACAACGGGTTAAATTAAAATAATATTAAAAAAGTTTTTATGTAATTATATTATTTTAAGAATTTACTTACATGTAACATACTGTGTCCGCGACTTCGTCCGCGTGGAATAGTGATTTGTGGTAGAATTTTTTAATTATATAGGCTGTATATTAATTTATGTAAGGGCGCATTTAAGGCAACCTATCTACGTTGTAAGTGCTACTTTGCCGCAACACTCTCACCTCACATCACACCTACTCTAACTCCCACTCTCATTCCCACTCCCACTCCTACTCCCGTACTATTCAGTTCAACGTTCTATATTTTTTCCCCAAAATTTTGTTCTATCGTGGCGTAGATCAGGTTACTGAAAAAAAATTGACAGGCACACAATTTGTTTTTCACGGTACTGATCATGAAACAATACCCCAGACTTGCCTCTTCCTTGTAAATTAAAATCAATGACGAGAATATTAAATGTTAAATTCAATCGATTTTATACCCTACTTCACACACATTATGGTTCTTTATCTCTTGAATATTTACAGGATAATTCGCGCTGCCGACAATATGCCGGTTAATGTCGCTTTTAGGGATAAAGTTATCCTTTCAAATGTTAAGGCAACGAGAAATTGTTGTAAACGGAATGAAATAATAACCCCACGGGTTTTGGTAAAGCGTTATGGCGGTATTTAGTATTACACCAAATATGGTCAAAAACTTACACCGAGAACACTGAAAATTCAAACTGTAAAGATATCTAATATCAGTGGCAGCAAAGAAATATTTCTCTCAAAATAGTATCCACATAAAAACTTACTATAAATACTTAGTGAAAATTATATATTGAACCATATATATAAATTTATTAGCATTAGTGTTGCCTTAGAATTAAAATAATAACTTTTGCCCAAATGTGTCCTAATTCGCAAGAAACAAATGATCTGTAATAAATATGTCATGATTTGATTGGATTATGACTGTCATTTCAACCTTTTTTTGAGTTCTGTATCCAAAGCGCAAACTGAGAAATAGTAACCCTCGATTCATAGACATACTAAGTTAATAGTACCTAATGAGAACGATTCAAGTAACGAACTACGATGGTTTCAGACTGTGGATTTCCGAATATCTAGAACCAAAATAGAGGTTGGCAACACATCTTGAGATGTCATATGGCTGAGGTCTTTCACCTTTCAACGAGTGAAGCCTATGCGTGTCTGTGCCTATTTATTTTATATATATAGTGACAGATATAAATAAACCGATTTTTATGATGCTTTGCAGCAGCCGTGGTCGCTAACTATAATATTTCGCGCTTTAAACAGTTAAAAGTGTTTTATTTAATGTTTACTACTCGCGGAAACTACAGACGCGACTTAACGTAACGATTGTTTGCAAAATAGGGCGGCGTGTCACGCAGCTTAATTTGAAAGCTTTGTAATTTGGGCGCGACATTTTAAAAGTTACCGCGGAAACAATAGCCATAAATCAAACGAGTGATACTACGCAGTAAAAGTTTTACGGGCGTTGGTTTGCATTTATTTGTTACATAGTGTTATAAAACTAGATATTACGAATCTCACCTTAGCTGGTAGGCGTTATTTTCTTTTAATAAAACACTTTTTACATGTAAAAAATCTTTCTATTTCGTGATAGCTGAACTTTATAAATTAGGAAAAATCGAAGACAAACTCGAACCTGTTACGACAGCTTTTTGAACCCTGCAATAAACATGGTAGCTGTTTAATTTAATTAAACAATATTTAATGGTAGTTTATTTATTTATTCATCATAAAAATTATAATGCCATGGCAGGCGGCAACTCAATTCAAAACTAAGCTTTAAAAAAACAGAACAATATAAAATCTTACAGAATTAATTATTTAAATGTATTACTTTTTACATTTTGTTTTATTTTATTTAATGTTCTCATAAATTGCAAATTAAATAGTGTTCATTGTATTTAAATAAAACACTTTAACGGTTTAAAACGCGATATATTTTAGTTAAACTTCTTTGAAATTTATTTTTAACTACGGCCCGACATTTCGGATGCTTTGCTTTTTTTTGCTTCCACGGCTGCTTCAGCTGTTCAAGTGTTCTATTTAAATGTGTACTACTCGCGTAAACTACAGACAGTATTTACTGTTCATTGTAGTTAACAAAATTTGTGACAAAAGTCGGCGAGAGGAACTTTTGAGTATTGACCCCAAATTCACTCATTCGTCGGTATGATATATTATTTTCTATATATAAATTGTCCGAAACCCTTTTTACATCAATTGTTATCGAAATTGGATATTGATGATGCCTAAAGCAACACTTTGTAGAAATCCTCCTGCCCGGATAACAGGCTGTTACCGGCGATAAATAAAAGGACAGAGAAAACGCTCGGCCGTATATCACCCGGCTCGCTAGGACATACGATATATCCGGTTATTTACCCGGATCTATCTAATGGATATGTTAAGCTACGATAAAATAAAAGATTTGTCTAAACAAATCTTTTATTGATCTACCTAATCCTACCTAATCTAATCTTTTAGTGAATTATTTATTAACTACCTTTTGAACAACGCTATTCACTTAAAAAGTGATAGTCTTAGTTTGAGATACCCAGAGCTTAAACCGGATATATTACTTAGCGGAGATTTTCACTTTTTAATTTTTATTTGTAAATAAAGTTTCGTCAAGGTAAGGAAGCTCGATGGTAAAGGAGACAATGTATGGCTAATGATCTCATCTACCCCCTTTCATTTTATAATTTTGAAACTTGTTGGACTTCATCTGGAAATCTGGATATTAAATGAGAGGTAGGAATAACGAAATGAAAAAAGACTTGTAATCGCGTTTCTGTTTCAGTCCGTGGATTTCGCCATTTCCGAAGCCAGAAGACATCCCATCATGTTTTAATGCTATATTTGACCTATTATCAATTGAACCACATATCTGTTAGTCGTAAATCTGTTTCCATTTTAGGTTGTTAATATTCGTATGTCAAAACCTAAATAGGCCGACAGCGCATCTTAATTAGATATTAGAACTGGGGCGTTTCACCTTCCGTCAACTCCAAGTTTGCATCCTCCTCTCTCATAAACAAATTTTGCATCGACCAAGTTATCCCCCAGCTTTGTCATGTCCAGAACAACGTGATTTTCCAAACACGTATGCCAAACTATAACGTCAGTTAGTCACAAATTGTTATTTAACTTGTGAAAGCCCGTTGGACTCGCTCGTTAGTTGCAGAGTTGATTAACAAGCGGAAATAATCATAGACCGAAAGTATTCTTTTTAATTGACTTTTCTATTTCAGTGGATTGTCATGTCACTGCGCTTTGTAGTCAACATGAGGGTAGTTTTCAAAAATCCACTAGTATTTAATAAGTATTCTAGTAGTGATTGATACAAATGCACAAAATAAAATACAAATTAATGAAACCCAAAATACTAAACTCATTAATTTACCCTTTTTATTTAATGAATATTTTTTATTTATTTATTTTTACTGTCTTGATAGTCTAGTGT